ATCGCACATTCCAGTGACAATATCAAGGTCATTGATGTGTGTTTAGTCATTATAACGCTACTTGATGTTGTCGTAATGATCTTTTCGTTCAACTAACATATTATTAGGGCTTGTTTAAATTGTTATTATCTATTTGAGGTCTTTTAAAATCACTTATTTAGAACAGACAGGTATCCAGAAATTAATATTTCTTGAGGAATACCAGTACTTTATATATAATAAATGATGCATTAGAACCAAAGTCGAGAGACGAAAATATTTTGTAGTGTAAAAAATGTTTCGTCAAGGGCACGTGCGACGAAATATGACGAAAAGTGACGAAATTCAATTTATCTAGATTTAGTATTAGCTAAACATTTTTTTTATCATGTTTCTGTCTGTTTCACATTTATTAATAGACTTGGTTTTTCGTTACACAGTCTAATATATTACCCACAAGTGATGAACGGCCTAATACTAACCAATATTAAATTAATTAGCGACAATGACGACATTATCACAAACTCATCATCGCAATCGTTATCCATCAGTTTTTTTAATTAATAATATAAATTAAAATCTCAAAATATTTTCTCTTATATATACCCACCCTTATTAGTTATTTTTTTAAAAAATAAAATAATAATATTACAGTGAACCTTTGTTTCAACGAAGTATAATTAAATTTTTGATACAACGAATTTTTAAAAACGTTGTTACACATTATGAAAACATTAATATAAAAATTCGTTGAAACGCGATTAGTAACCTTGTTTCAACGAATGTCGAATAAAATTTTCTTATATGTCCAGCCACTTCGTTGAAACAAGGGCAGACTGTACATTGAAGTTCTTGAATTGGTTGATCATTACTATTTGTATCTACTTGCTAAAACATTCAACAATTTTTCATTGTTTCAGTCAGTTACTCTTTGAACAAAGTGTGATTGCATTTAAAATTTTTAATGGTCCAAAAGGTTTTGATGCATATCATAAGCATTGATTGATTTCTGTTTTCAACAAGTAATTTTCTATAATGAGGCTTAAAGCATGTAAGTTAGAATAAATATCTAATACGTACTTTGAATGAGTAAGTTATTCCTGCATCAGTCAGTAGGTTGCAGCATAGCAGTTGTGTTAAACAAAATTGTGTGCGTTAATTTATTATTTATTTACTTAAAAAAGTAATAATTTTCAATTTTTATTTATGGGATTTCAAATTCTTTAAGTTTTTTTTATTTGGTGAGAACACAATCAATCATAGTAATACCAACAATCGGTTTAGCTTTATGGGGGGAGGAGGAGTAAGTAATCATTAATCAATATTAATATTCAATTTTTTTTTAGGTAATAAAGTTGCAACGTTTATTTATGTGGTTGCCTCTATAATTATGATTGCAAATTTTTATTTTCATACTTGCTTATGTTATAATTAAACATGAAGAAGCATTATTGGTAATTATTATTATTATTATTAAATCAATTATGTAATTAGTGATATTTATTGATAATAATCTAATTTTCCAATAGTTGATTTGGAATTAAGTTGCCAAGAATTTTCAATTGATAAATCAATCAACTAATAAACAAACAAACAATAAAATCATATATATATATATAATAAATATTTATATAGTATTAAATCAAATAAATTCAATTAACCAATTCAACCAATTCATTCAATCAACTTTTCACCTACTGTATGTAATTGACATACATTACTATTATTCATATTAATTAATAACCTACCAATCAACTTATCATCAATCAATCAACTAAAACCATCAAATAAATCATCAATTTATAAATATGTATAACTATAGACATGCAATCTGTCCCCCCAATCACTCTATCTGACCCATCCCTCCATCCAGCCAAATCTATAGCATTATCATTAAATGAACAACCCCCTCTTTCCCAATTATATCTATTCATCTATCTGACCACCAACTAACCAACCTTTCATTCATTCACTCAACAATATTATATAATTGAGAAGAG